CTCTTACCTGGCCCAAACACCCCCTCCCCCCCCCACACACCTCTTACCTGGCCCAAACACCCCCCCCCCCCCACACACCTCTTACCTGGCCCAAACACCCCCCTCCCCCCACACACCTCTTACCTGGCCCAAACACCCCCCTCCCCCCACACACCTCTTACCTGGCCCAAACACCCCCCTTCCCCCCCACACACACCTCTTACCTGGCCCAACTATCCCATACTCACATACCACTGCCTGGAGCCTGCAGTGGCCTGGGGAGCTCAGAGACTACTCTCTTGGATACCTAAACCATGACTGGGGTCTAAGTAGGAGAAAGTCCAAGGGGAAGCAGGGTGGGGGGGCTGTCTCCTGAGGGGGCCGCCTATCACCCTCTTCTCAGGCTTCTAATAAGAATACTTAGTGTTCAAACAGCCCCCCTCAAGCTCACTGTCAGCATCTTGCTTCATAATCAATGAATCTGGGCAACCCCCCAGAAGGCCTATCTGTATTATCGTGCTCTCTGAGACTCAGGGAAACTGAGGCCCAGAGGGAAAGGAACTTTGGAATTGGACCAAAGGAGGCATGGTTCTGACTGTGGCATTAACAGGTTTCTGGACCTGGGTTCTTCATTGCCAGTACGCTCGTGCTGGTACTCACACTCTTTGCTCTTCCGCTCTACAGGGCAGCAAATGTGGCCCCAGACACTTACTAGCTATGGGACCCTCAGCGCATCACTTCACCTCTTTCAAGCTCCAATTTCCTCATCTGTAAAAGGGGATTAATTATAACCTCTATCTCCAGGGGCAGCTAGGTGGTGCAGTGGATAGAGCGCTGGTCTTGGAATCTTCATGAGTTCAAATCTAGCCTTAGACATTGACTAGCTGTATGAACTTGGGCAAGTCCCTTCACCCTGTTTGCCTCAGTTTCCTCACCTGTAAAATGAGCTGGAGAAGGAAATGGCCAACCAGTCCAGTACCTTTGCCAAGAAAACCCCAAATGGGGTCACAAAGAGTCCAACATGATTGAAAACCACTTGCTAGGGTTGTTGTGAAGATCGAGTTCTTTCTGGTTTTTGTTGGCTTGTTTGTTTTTGGTGAGGCAATTGAGGTTAAGTGACTTGCCCAGAGTCACACAGCTAGTGAGCGTTATGTATCTGAGGCTGGATTTGAACTCAGGTCCTCCTGACTCCAGGGCCAGTGCTCTATCTGCTGTGCCACCTAGCTGCCCCTATCGAGTTCTTTTTAAACCTTAAAGTGCTACATAAATGCTAGCCATTGTTATTATTAGTTTTTACAGAGGGCTTTTTTTCCAAGCAGGTTTGCCAGTCTCAGAGAGACAAGGCTTGGGGGAAAAAGCCAGAAATCCCAGGAGATTTTGAGGGGACCCTGTGAAGTCAGGATATAGGCACACATCAGGTGAGAAGGCAGGTCAGGCTCTGAATTAGGATTACTCAATCACAGATTGATAACCCATAAGTGCTAGAGTTTTAGATCTAACTTTCCATCTGGTCAAATGACTTGTCCAAGGTCACATGGGAAGTAACTGTCAGAGTTGGAATTTGAATTCAGGTCCTCAGGCTACAGAGGAGTTCCACACTCTATTTCCCAAGCCCCGCTCTGCTGCTGAGCTCTCTAGAGGCTCCTGGTTCATACCGTGGCTGCCCTAGATGAATTCTGACATCCTTTCTGCTGCTAGAATTCCATGGGTCTAGGCAGCAGGGAACTGGGGCAGGTGGGGGAGGGGGAAGAGGAAACTATGTCATCTTTTCCTTTTGTTAGCAGGCTGGCCTATTCCAGACTCCAGATTTCAGAAATCCAGAGGTCGGGTTTTCCAAAAATGCCTTTATTAGCAACTGAAAGGGAAAAAATGGGGGAGGGATGATATCCATGCCCAAGCTAGGAGAATTGGGAACAGCCAAGCAAACCAGTGGAGGAGGAGGAGGGTGGCCAGCACCCCAATAATTTAGGGGGACAAGCATAGTACAGATCCTCGTTGCTACTCCTGTGGACTATTGCAACAGCCTCCGAAGTCGTCTCTCAGCCTCCAAAGTCATCCCTCTGCCTCCAGTCTTTTTCCCTCCTCATTCAATCCATGTCTCCACAGAGTCATCAAAATAGTCTGATAAAAACAGGTCTGATCATGTTTCTGCCCTGCTCTGTAATCTTCACTAGCACCCTGGGGCCAGGAGAGCTCCAAGTGTGGGGGCCAGCATGGGTGTGCCTGGAGGATGAGGCCAGGTCCAGAAACCTGACTACTAACACCACATTTAGGACTGTTCCTCCTTCTGGCAGATTCCAGGCTCCCTCCTCCTGTGGGTCTCAGTTTCCCCTGAGTCCCAAAGGCTCTTATTGCCTGGAGGATAAAATGCCAACTTCTCAGCCAGGCATTTCAAGTTCTTCACAGTTTGTGTTCTGAACATTTTACGTTACTTTCCTTCACTCCCTCAATGCCCAAGCCCAAATGACTTGCCCGCTTTTACCAAAACTCCATACTCCCATCTCCTTTGCAGAAGGCATCCCCTCTTCCTAGAAGCCTCCAGGCCCCTTTGGAATCCTTAGAATCTTACTTCTAGGCTTTCCTATGCTTTCGAGTTTATACTTATCCTCCTTAAATTACTTTATATTTACTTCTTCGTTTACACACTGTATTCCCCAACTGAATATACACTTCCCGACTCACATATTTAGAGCACAAGCACAGCCTTCTCATTCTGCAGATGAGGAAACTGAGGCCCAGAGAGGTTAAGGGACTTGCCTGGGGTCACACAGCAAATAAGTATCTGAGATAGGATATGCTCCTAGGTCTTACTGACACTAAGTCCAGTTCTCTATCCACTACAACACACTATCTCTCAGCTACCTGAGGCCAGGCATTATTTGCTTTTGTCTCTGTACCTCCAGTGCCTAGTACAGTGTGTCCCACATAGTAAGTAGTTAATGTTTGCTAGATTGCAGACAGCAAAGAAAAGCCCAGGTGAGATTGGATTTGGGGTTTAGCTTTGAGTGTCTCCTCCGTCTCTCTGCTTGGGGGCAGAGGGAGGGGCTGATTCTCTACAATGAAATGGCAATGTCCTCTGCCTGGCCAGCCAGTGTGACCAGCACGAGACAGTGTTTGGGGACCAGTGACTGGGCTTCTGCTCTCAGCCCAGGACCAACAGCCCTGCGTGCAGATGTCAGAAGTCTTTTGCCAGAACTTTCATACCCCCTGAGATCCCAAGGGAGAGAGGAGACAGATGCAGTAGATTTCCCCCCCATCACCTTGTATTTGTCTACTGACCCATCTCATAAAATGTGAGAGTCTCAGTATTGGAAATATCTGTCCCAGCACCAAACAAACCCTTTGTAAATTCTTCTTGATGGCTTTACAGTTAAAACCCCAGAAAGAAAAGTTAAAAAGGGTACATCTTGGGTTAAAAGACTGGATCAAAAGGTGTCTTTGAATAATAAAAATGAAGTAAGATGGCCAGGATGGCTCTCTGAATGAATGCAGTCCACCTGTCTCCCACACACTGAAGTAGATACTTCAGCAAAAACCTAAAATGCACCCCAGACGGAATGATAATCAAGAAAGAGAATAAGAAACACTAGTGACTTCTTCCTGAATCCCAAGTAGCCTCCTAGCACTACCAAAGACACAGCCTGCAAGCCTCTGTGTCCATAAACAGCAAGGTCAGAGGCTACCACCTCCTACCCTCAACTTTGAAAAAGACCTAGGGAAGTCAGAAAACCCCAGACTGCAGGCCTTGGAAGAAGGCACTCTGGATGGCAGCGATCAGAATAGCATCAAAGCTCTTAGATCACTCCAGCCCAGGCCTAGGGGCTCCCACGTTCCTAGCACTCTGTCCTGAGATGCCAGAGAAGGCCTTAAAGATTCAGCACTCTTTACCTCAAAAATATGGACAGCCTAGCCTCTCTGGAAGCAGAGGTCAACACAGGAACCCAGGGGCCGTCCTGGATCTTTCAGAAGGACTACATGAGAACCTAGGAGAAATGAATCAAGAAATAGAAAACAGAAAAGCTCTGGAGGAAAGAATGAGAAGGAGAATAAGTAGTTTAGAAGAGAATTGGTAAGCCTTACCCAAGGAAGAGACCTAGGTAAACCACAAGAAATTAACAAGAAATCAGTGACTCCTCAATGAGACCTCAAGACATATTAGAACAAAATCAAAAGATTGAAGAAAAAGGAATAAAATGTGAGCTAGATTATCTGATATAAAAAATAACTCACCAAGAAATAGATCAAGGAAAGATAATTTAAGAATCACTGTATTCCTCAAAAGCCAATGATTTTTTTTAAAGCCTGACCACTATATTTCAAAAAATCATAAATGAAAATTGTCCAGATGTATTAGAACCAGAGGGCAAAGTGAAGATAGAATATACCAGTCACATCCTTAAAGAAATTCCCAGAATATAATAGCCAAAATCCAGAGCTCCTCCAAAATACTGCAAACATCCAGAAAGGAGTTCAAGTACCAAGGAAACAAAGCCAGGATCACACAAGACTAGGTATTTTTTTTTTTTACTGTGAATGAGAGGAGATCTTGGAATATAATATTCCAAAAGGCAAAAGATACAGGTTTCCGGCCAAGAATAATGTACCCTGAGAAGCTGAGTATAATACTACAGGGGAAAATGGACCATTAGTGGAGGAGAGACCTTTCAGGAATTTCTCACGAAAAGAACAGAGCTGACTAGGAATTTTGATATGTGAACACAAGAGTCAAGAGAAACATTGGAAGGTCAATTAATTCGAATAATTAGAAGGGGCTGTATGATGATATAATGATAGCATTCTATGAGGGAGAGAAAAAAATGAGTGTCTCTGGAGAATCTAAATGTCTTCAAAGTCCTGAGGGTGGCCTGCTTCTGTTCTGAGAGCTTTAAGAGGGGAAAGAGAAGGAGGGATATGAGGAAGAGGACCCTAGTGTAGGAAAGAGGAAGAAGGGGGTAAAACTAGTAACTTCTCATATATAGGGTGTGTGAGAAGCAGAGTGTATAAACATGAAGAAAGGGGTGGGAGGGCAGATGAACCTCATTCTCATCTGAAACATCAACAGAGGGTTGAACAGGAATACACACAAACTGTTTTGTGTAGAAATACATCAAATTCAACATGAAGGGAGATTAAAAGGGAGGAAAATAAGGCGATGGGGTAGCTGCAAGCTCCAAGCAAAATCCTCGATCCTGAAGTAGGTATTAAACCTACCAAACAGAGAAGAGCTGATTAAATGGTGGCATGGGAATGTAATAGAACAGATTGTACTGGAAGAAATGATGAGGGATGAGTGTAGAGGATCCTGGGTAGTCTGAACTGATGCAGAGTGAAGCAAGAAGAATCAGGGGAAGAATTTACCCAAAAAACAACAGCATTGTAAAGAAAACCAGCTTTGAATGCTGATCCACACAAAGCCCTCCATGCCTCCAGAGGACCCACCATAAAGCATAACCCAGCTCCTGGCAGAGGGAATAGAGACAAGGTATGGAAAACAATATATATCTGTGGACTTGGCCATTGTGGGGATTTGGCTTGCTTTACTAGTATGCTTACCAGGTTTTGTTTTTTTCCCTTCTTCTCCCTTTTGGTTTTTAATTGGAGGCGGGGGTGAGGAGATGGGGGGAGTTAGAGCAGTGCTTTAAAAAAGAGAGACAAAACCATTGAAACATGTTTAAAAGGGAACGGGAGACTAACAGGACAGTTTCCAAAGTAATGTGTAGAACATTCCATACTGGGCAGCTAGGTGGTATAGTGGATAGAGAGTCAGGCCTGGGATCAGTAAGACCTGAGTTCAAATCCTTCCTGAGACACTTGCTAGCTATATAACCCCGGACAAGTCACTTCACCCTGTTTGCCTCAGTTTCCTCATCTATAAAATGAGCTGGAGAAGGAAACGGCAAACCACTCCATTATCTCTGCCAAGAAAACCCCAAAAGAGGTCACAAAGAATCAGACATGACTGAAATGACTCACACCACCAAGAAAAAAGAAGGTAATATGAAAGAGAGACTCACAGTTTCATATACAATCCTCTTTTTGTTAATAAGAATGTTGCTTTTTTGGGTGCTTAACTTCAGAATAAAATATCAAATTTAAAATGATCAAAAGCAAAGAAAATGTGTCTTTGCCACATTTGTTTTCTCTGCTCCCATTTTGTCTGATCTTCCTCCCTGCACTCCCAACAGCTCCTTCTTCTGCTCCAGACCCACACCCGTCCTAGTCCCACACTACTGATTTGTAGGGAACCAGAATGTTGAACAGCAACCATAACGCCTAACTGAACAAACACTCCAGTGGAGAACTCCACTGGCCACTTTCCCCTCAAAGAGGTTTTCCAAACAGCTGTAGATAAAGGAAAAACAAACTCCATGAACTTCCATTCAAACCATCCCCTTTTCTTTAAGAGCAGCTGTGAAAAACCCATGCTTTGGCTGACATTTATTTCTATGCATTGTTTGCTCCAATTAACCTAACTATGGAAACATTTGGGCAAATGAACAAGTATTCCACATCTTTTTCTTTCCCATATTAATTTCTCAATTGTTTTCTCCCCTAAGGGAAACAATTCTCTGCTCAGAAAGCAAAGCCCCAGTCCTCCTATGGATGAAGACTTTTCTGTGGCGTTGGAAGTCCAAAGGTCGTTTGGCTTCCTTTCTAACTAAACAGAAAGAGATGTTAACAAGTAAAATTATGTATCTACTTTATTCCAGTTCTTTGGTAAATCAATAGAGTTGCTGCCTTCCTCCACGTAGGTGTATTTTTTATTGAGTGAAGAACTGTTCTTGCTCTTCTTTTGCCATCTTGTGGAACATCCTACTTTGGGGAAGCCCACCTCCTCTTTACAAATCAACTCTGCAAAAATCCTGACGCTGATTTTTTTCTTTTATTGAGATCTTTTTCTCTTTTCCACGAAACTCCCAAAATACAAGGGAAGGAAGCCTATGAGCTTCTCTTGTCTAGAAACACTTTATCAAAGAAGATAAATTCCCTGTTAAATGTGCCGAGAATCCAGGAAGAGGGGGCCATCAGCAGCGTCATAGGCAGCAGAGAGGGAAAGAAGGATGGAGTCTGAGAAAAGACCATCAAGTCTGGCAGTTGAGAGATCACTGGCAACTTTGGAGAGGACAAGATTATGGGGTTAGGGAGTCTGTAATCCTGGCCTATAGGCAATGCTGTCAAGTGGTTAGAGAGTTGGTCTTCAAGCCAGGAAGGTCTAGGTTCAAGGGCTATCTGACATTGGGTGATTCTGGGTGAGTCACTTGACCTGCCTTGGTGGAATAATTAAATACACCCCCTGAAGCCTGTCCAGCAGGACATCGGCCTTTTCCTCTCCTCCTAGTTCTTCAGGCCTTTAACCCACACTCTACAGGGGTCTGTAGAGTGTGGACCAGGGGTAGCCGTCTCCCTCTCCCTGGTCCAAACAATCTTCTGGCATGGCAACAGGGCTCGAGCCGTGAGAAAGTTCCTTCCACCAAAAGAACTTCAATTGGGGACAGTAAGGGAGAGGTGCTGGGGGCAGGGAGGGATGACGAATTCACCAAACCATAGTTCTTCAGGGTAATCTGAAACTTTCTTCTTCCTCTACCTGGGAGGTCACAGTCTGTGGAGAAATCATCCTACTTCTCATTTCTCCCAAAGAAATGACTGCCAAATCATACCGCTTCCTTTTTTTTCTCTTCCCTTTTAAGCATGAGACTCCTAGAAGGTCCGGGGGGCCGTTGGGCCCGGCACAGAATTGCGGCCTCAGAGCAGGAAGGGGAACCCCTCGCCCCAGCCTTGCCTCGCCCCTTCTTTGCCATCCCAAGAAATGGCTCATCAGCCCCTAGCTGAGCACTTCCTCCCTCAGAGCCCACGCCCCTTTGGGGCACTTCTCTCAGCACAGCCTCCTCACTCTCCTCCCGGGACTCTCACTGCTGCCAGGGAGTTAGGGGGATGCTGTATCCAGCCCTAAGCCAGGGCCCTTCACCAGAGAGATGGCTGTTTTGGAATCCCATGGCCATGGCTTTGTGCGATTTAGAGTTGGAAGAGACCTGGTCCAATCTCCTGGTTTTTCAGCCGAGAAAACGGGGTGTGGAGATGTTCAGTGATTTGTCCAAAGTCACACGAGTGACGGGATAGTCATGGGATGGGGAGAGATTGGACTTGAGATGTTCTTGTCGTAGCACGCTCCCAAATGAGGAAATCTCTCCTTCAGTGCACCTTTCTGGGCAAGTGAGAGGAGAGGAGAAGAGAGGGGAATGGAGAGGAGGAGAGGGAAGGAAGGGGAGGGGAGGGGAAGGGAGGGACGAGGAGGGGAGGGAGAGAAGAGAGGGGAGGAGAAGGGAGGAGAGGAGAGGAGAGAAGAGGAGAGAGAATGTGGAAAACTCAGGAGAGGAGCTGAAAGAGAATTGCCATCGGCCCTGGGGATAGGAGTATCTGGAAAGGTGGTCAATGGCAGCTGGGGGTCTGAGTTGGAAGAGACCTTAGAGGCTGTCTGGCCAATTGACTTATCTTCCAGGAGTTCAGACAGGTGAAGCCAGGTATGCCAGAAATCACGCAGCTAGAGCAGCCAACGGACCTCAGAAGCCACCAAGAATGCCTCATTTTACAGATGAGGAAACTGAGGCAAACAAGGTTAAGTGACTTGCCCAGGGTCCCACAGCTAGTGAGAGTCTGAGGCTGGATTAAACTCCAGGCCTAGCGCTCTTCCTCCCCTCACCTTGGGGCCCCTCTCCTTTCTCATTCTAATCCTCTCACTTCTCTGGGACCCCACCCCACTTCTCTCTCTATCCTCTTCCCCTCCCCTCCCTCCCTCCTCTCTCTCCTGCTAGAAGGTGCAGTGGACAGAATACTGGGCCTGGAGTCAGCGAGACCTGACTTCAAATTGCCCCTGCCTCAGTTTCCTTAACTGAGTTTCCTTCTAGGGTTGGTGAAAGGCTCAGATAGGCTATTTGTAAAGCACAGTGCCTGGCACACACTAGGAGCTTGCTTAATGCTTCTTCCCCACCCCTCCCCCCATCCCTATCCTCTCTGGCCCGTGTACTCTCTTTCCCTCCTCTTTTCCTCTCCTCCTCCTTCCCTCCCTTTCCCTCTATCCTCCCTTCTCCTCTCCTCTTTTTATCCTCCCCTCCTTCCTCCCCTTCCCTCCTTCCTCCTCTCCTCTCCCCTCCCTTCCTCCCTCTCCTCCTCTCTCTCCTCCCCTCTCCTGTTCTCTTTTCCTTCTATCTTCACCTCCCCTTCTTCTTCCCCTCCTCCTTCCCCTCCTCCTTCCCTCTGTCCTCCCCTCTCCTCTCCTCTTTTCCTTCTATCCTCCCCACCTTCCTCCCTTTCCCTCCTTCCTCCCCTTCCCTCCTTCCTCCCCTCCTCCTTCCCTCCCCTTCCTTCTCTCTTCCCCTCTCCTTTCCTTTTTTCTTTCTATCCTCTCCTCCCTTCCTCCCTTCCCCTCTCTCTTCCCCTCCTCTTCCTTCCCCTCCTCCTTCCCTCTATCCTCCCCTCCTCTCCTCTTTTCTTTCTATCCTCCCCTTCCCTTGTCCTCCCCTCCTCCTTCCCTCCCCTTCCCTCTCTCTTCCCCTCTCCTCTCCTCTCCTCTCCTCTCCTCTCCTCTCCTCTCCTCTCCTCTCCTCTCCTCTCCTCTCCTCTCCTCTCCTCTCCTCTCCTCTCCTCTCCTCTCCTCTCCTCTCCTCTCCTCTCCTCCCCTCTCCTCCTCTTTCTCCTCCCCTGTCCTGTCCTCTTTTCCTTCTATCCTCCCCTCCCCTCCTTCCCCTCCTCCTTCCCTCTATCCTCTCCTCTCTTCTCTTCTCCTCTCCTCTTTTCTTTCTGTCCTCCCCTCCCTTCCTCCCCTCTCCTCCCTTCCTCCCCTCCCCTCCCTTCCTCCCCTCTCCTCCCTTCCTCCCCCCTCCTCCCCTCTCTCGTCCTCTTTTCCTTCTATCCTCCCCTCCCCTCCCCTCCCTTTCCCTGTGCGCTCTCCCTCCCGCTCCCCTCCCCGGCGCCAGGGGGCGCTGCAGGCCGGCCCCGTCGCCATGGTCACCGCCGGCTGCGCAGGGGGCGTTACGTAAAGCACGCAGCGTCCCCCGGGGGGCGGGGGCGGGCTGGGCGCCGGCGCCGGGCCCTGCGGAAGGCGCGTTAGTGAATCGGGGCCTCGGGCGCCCGGGATGGAGGCGGTGGTGGCGGCGGCGGCAGCGGCGGCGGCGGGCCGGGCCCTGCGGCGGCGGCGGGAGGGAGGTAAGCGCGGGCGGGCGGGCCCACGGGCACGCGTGGGGATGGCGCGGCCGGGGCGCTCGGCCCGGACACGCGTGTGCGGGGGTGGCCGGAGCGCTGACACGTGGGGCGCGGGGGGCCCGCGCGGGCGCGCGTGGGGGGCCTGAGGGCCGCGGGACCCCACGCGGCCCCCGGCCCCGGCCCCGCCGGACCCTGAGCTCCAGCTGGCAGGGACCGCGGCGGCCGCCAGGCCGCCCCCTCCTTTTACAGGCGGGGAAACTGAGGCCCTGCCGCTGCACGGACTTG